TTTTTTTTTTTTTTTTTTTTTTGAGAATTTTGATATGTAAATCTAGTGTTATTTCTTGGAAAGAGAAATTACTGACCTGTTATCAGATTTATTTCGGAAAAAAGTGGTGAGAGATTGAAGGAGAGAGAAGAAATCGGTTACCATTTTTTAAAATTTTTATTATTTATTTATTATTATTTTTTATTATTTTGAGCTTGTTGCAGTTGATCATATCAACATAAATGATATGATTTAAAACTAACATCCATAAAAACTGGATTAAATACGACCAACGGAACACATTAATAGCAAAAGTAGCAGACGATGACAACAAATAAGGACGAGAAGAATGGGACTAGAGAGATATAAAGTTGAGTCTGAAAACGGTAGGACTTCAATCACTGAATTTAAATTTAAGAGTACAACATTATTGTTTGGATTATAAATTAAATTTTAAAAAATTAAATATTAGAAAATAAAATATCAAAGGGAAAATTAAAAAAGAGAGGATAGAGAGAAAAAAAAGAGAATCAAATACCTTCGACTGGAATATTTTATTTTCAAATAACTTATTCTCCACTTAACACATGTAATATAAGCCTAAAATTATACACTTTCATAGAAAGAATATTTAAATGGAATAAAAGGTCCACATAATAAATATATTCGACTTATCGAATTCTATCGAACGAGTAATAAATACCAAAATTCCAACTCAAAATCGAAACCATATCATACAAAAATTTCAAAATTTCTTCTTCAAATCTTCGCATTTGTTTTTTTAAGTTTCGTTTTCTAAAGAGAAGAAAGATTTATGGCTGCTGTTCCATCTGACGTTATGCATGCATGGATACAGCCGGTGATAGTGGGAGAAGTGAAAAACATTGATGTCAATGATCCAAAGGTTAAAGCGGTAGCAGAGTTTGCACTGAGTAAGTATCCTAGAGAAAACTTGATCCTTCATCAAGTTGAAGCTGGTCAAATCATTCTGGTGTTTAGGCTCGAGCTGAACCTCTATTACAATCTTATTATCTCCGCCAGACGTTGCCATGAACCATTATTGGTGTTTTGTAGTGCCATTGTAAAACGATGTATTTCAGATGAATCTTATGACCTCATATCTTTCGTTCGTCTTCCCTAAACTGCATAACTTGCAACGAGATCATCTATGTTCTATGAACTATGTCTTATCTAAGTTATAAACTATCAAAAAGCAGTAATAATATGAGAATAAAAGTTGCCAAAGGGAGCATATAGCTCGATGGTAATTACTATATCCTCCTTTCATTTTTCTTTTGCATCTCATATTGAAATTTACTCTCGTTAGTCTACTCAATTTGTGCAGATGTTAGTCTTAAATCATATCATTTACATGAAACTCTGATAGTATTGCACCATCAAACACAATTATTTCATTGTCAGGCATCTTATTCACAGATATCTTATTATTTGTCGTCTGATTTAAAGTTTTGTATAATGTCCAAAATAGGATGCTTGAGAATAGAGTAACGGCATTTGGTGTTGTGCGTGAATGATATCAGTATTTTATATATAAATAAATAATATTTTATTTTGCTCATTCCTCACCATTAATTCCAACATTTTTTATTAAATCAAATAATTAAAATAATTTTCACTAATTAAATTTTTATTTATTTATAAATACAATTTTCAAATATAAAAATTTGTGAGTACAAAGATAAGAGGCTGATATATAAGGTAATTCATTTTAAATTATCAAAATAATTTAAATTAAAAATTTGTAATTATAAAAAACAAAACACCTCTAAGTTATTTAATTCGACAAGTTTAACTTATCTCGTTATTAATTAATTTAATAACATATTAATTAATAGCTTAATATAAATAATTTATTATATTAATATTGTAAAAATGATTTAAGTAAATATAAGCCTATTTATTTATAATAATAGAATAATTTAGTATATTTAAAAACTATAAATTTATTTTAAACATATTTATAAAAAATAAATAAAATAAAAAAATGAAGAGATAATAGAAAATAATAAGGAATTTAAGAAAATACATGTTTTACGTGGTTTTGTTAAAAATAAAAATAAAAAAAATAATAAACTCATTACCTTCCCATATTTTCTCTAACAATTCTCATTCCTCCACTATTTAGTATCAGTATAAACTAATATATTATCTTATTTGGTTTTCCTTTAGCTTTAGTTTGTTGGTGAACCTTTACACGCTCTATAAAAAAAATATTTTGGTTCATCTTTCCAATTGATGTGGGATCTATAATCTACTCCTTTGGGCGTAGCGTCCTGGCACTCATTCTCTTCTCCAATTAATATATGATCTCACAATCTACCTCTTCGAGGCCTAGCGTTTTCACTATACACTCGTTCCTCGATCTAAACGACGTAGGATCTCACAACATTACTTAGCCAAAAACTGCCACCATCCATTCTTTCATCATCCAAAAAGTTTCCTCTCCTCATCCACTCGAAAATTCATCTCAATTCCAGTTGTAGACAAACTTACTAACGATGATGTAAAAGTCAATTTAATATGTAATTCATTCATAAGACGCGAAAGTCAGGACACGGTTATTCGAAAATTTCAAATGCTCGAATTAAATGATTTCTTGGTTCAAAAAGTCTTGCTCAAATTGATGTCAAACGCGCTTCAAAGTTCTTCCAAGTCGGGTAAGAGGAAGAATTTCAATCATGGGTTTCAATATTATGGTATTTTGATTCATATTTTAGTTATTACAAGTTGAGCATTTCATGCTTTGATACTCGATCATTTAAAGTATGAGGTCATAAATCTGCTATGATGAACATAAGATACAACAGGAATTCTCAAGGTTGTCCTTTTTGGGTTTTTTCTTTCGAACTTCCCAATTTTTAAAAATGCATCCCACACTCATATAGAAAATGTTTTGTTCTCCTTCCCAATTAATGTGGGGTCTCACTGCTCTGATTTTCAACTTGAATCTACTCAAGATTTTTCATGGAAGTTGAGCGGAATCTCTCATAGGTCAACATATTCAAAACTCTAGAACCTAATTTCCAAGAATTCGGATGGATCTAAGGAAAAACTGAAACTAAAAGTACTTAAATCTTACCTTCCATTCATTCCGTTCCTTGATGAAATAGAATGGTTCAAATGCTTAAACGAATACTCACAATAAAGTGAGTGTTTCTTGTGAAGAACTCTCGGCCAAAATTAGACTTTATGTAGCTGATCTGAGCAGATTTTTGTACCTCGTTCTTCCTCTCAAATCCTAACCCTCCTTTTTATTTCATTAACTTTTATTTTTCTCCTTTAGAACTTCTACACTCATAAACACGTCCTTACGAAAGAGGGTCAAATTACCATTTTGTCCCACAGTAACATAACATTGATGTATTCTATTCATACATCACTCTTATACTTAAATAAATTTTGAATGAGTGTTATATACTACTAATAGAGCGACCTTTTAAAATAAGTGAGATGGGAATAAACTTTTCACTTGGTTTCTAAAAAATGAAGAGATTGAGTTGAGATCGATTTTGGGAGCATTTAGAGGTAAGTTAGGTAGACATGTTAGTTCCCGTTAAACAATCTTTTTATTACTTTAACATTGAAAATTTTTTTTAGTCACATCTAAGTTTTATTAGCACTACGACATGTTAATATTAATGGTTCCCAATAGAATGAATTGAACCGTTGTAAGTTGATGATAGAGAGTTCTCAAAAAGAAACTTTTCGTCATGATAGATGGTTTATGTTCTCGATCAATATTTGTAATGATTGTATTTATTTAATCTAATAAATCTCTAATATTATGAACGTTTAACAAAGGTGGATCAAATCAACATAAATGATATGATTTAAGACTAACATCCACAAAAAGTGAATCGGTTAACTGGATTAAATACGACCAATCGAGCAAATTAATAACAAAAACTTCAATAATAGCAGACAATGACAACAGGTAAGAACAAGAAGAATGGGAGGGGAGAGCTATAAGGTTGAGTCTTAAAACTCAACTACTTAACTCTAACTCAACACAAATTTAAGAGACCAAAATTATTTATTTTAGATTATAAATTAAATTTTAAAAATTAAAAAAATGAATATAAAAAAATAAAATATCAACTTATTCTCTATGACTCGGATTAAAGGAAGAATGAGACTAACTTATTCCGAAAGTTACACTAAATCAAATATTTTATTTCTCTTTCATGTTTAATGTAACAACATAAAAGATGAAATAAACATGTAACTTAAGCCTAAAATTATACACAAACTTTTAGTCTCATACAAAGAAAGAATATTTGAATGGAATAAAAGGTCCACGTAATAAATATATTCGACGATATCGAGTTCTACTTAGCAAGTAATAAATACCTCAACTCCAACTCAAAATCGAAAGCATACCCTACAAAAATTTCAAAAATTTCTTCCTCAAATCTTCCCATTTGTTCTTTTAAGTTTCATCTTCTTAAGAGAATACAAATTCATGGCTGCTGTTCCATCTGCCATTGTCCCGGAAGGGGGACCGCTGCCATTGAAAAACGTGAAAAACATTGATGTCAATAATCCAAAGGTTAAAGAGGTAGCAGAGTTTGCACTGAGTAATTATCCTGGAGAAAAGTTGATCCTTGATCGAGTTGAAGCTGGTCAAATCATTCTGGTGTCCAGGCCCGAGTGGAACTTCTATTACAATCTTATTATCTCCGCCAGACGTTGCCATGAACCATTATTGGTGTTTTGTAACGCCATTGTAAAACGATGTATTTCAGATGAATCTTATGACCTCATATCTTTCGTTCGTCTTCCCTAAACTGCATAACTTGCAACGGGATCATCTATGTTCTATGTACTATGTCTTATCTAAGTTATAAACTATCAAAAAGTAGTAATAAAAGTTGACAAAGGGAGCATATAGCTCGATGGTAATTACTATATCCTCCTTCCATTTTTCTTTTGCATCTCATATTGAAATTTTAGCTCGTTAGCCTACTCAGTTTGTGCAGATGTTAATCTTAAATCACATCATTTACGTGAAACTCTAATAGTATTATCATGCACCATTAAACACAATTATTTGATTTTCAGGCATCTTATTCCCGGACATCTTATTGTATATAAAGTTTTGTCTAATGTGTAGGAATAGAATGCTTGAAAATAGAGTGACTTCGTGCGCCCAATGATATCCATATTTTATATATAAATAAATATTATTTTTGCTAGCTAGCCATTAATTCTAACTTTTTGTATAATTAATTATAGGCTAGTTAGTTTATTTTTTATTAAATCAAATTATTAAAATAATTTTAACTAATTAAATTTTTATTCCTTTTAAATAAAATGTTAAAATAACAAACTTGGAGTAAAAATTTATAATCAATAGATATATAAGGTAATTCATTTTAAATTATCAAAATAATTCTAATTAAAAATTTGTAATTATAAAAAACAAAACAATTCTCCAAGTTTACAAATTTAACTTATCTTATTATTAATTAATTTAATAACATATTAATTAATAACTTAATATAAATAATTTATTAGGTTAATATCGTAAAAATTATTTAAGTAAACATAAACATATTTATTTATCATAATAGAATAATTTAGTATATTAACGTTACTATCCTATGGTTAAAAACTATAAATTTAAATTTAAACATATTTATAAAAATTAAATTAAAAAAAATAATAGAAAATAATAAGGAAAGGAATAAGGGATTTAAGAAAATACATGCTTTTACCTGTTTTGTTAAAAAAAAATTCATTACCTTGACATATTTTCTTTTAGAGTTAAATTTGCCCGAACTGTTCCAATCCGTCTCATCCGTAACACTACAAGCTGACATATATTATCTTATTCGAGTTTTCCTTTCAGCTTCCGCTCAAAATTTTTAAAACGAGTTTATTAAGGGAGGTTTTCACACCCTTATAAAAAATATTTCGTTACTCTATCCAACCGATATGGGATCTATAATCTACCCTTTCGGGGTCTAGCATTCTCGCTGGCACTTGTTCTCTTCTCCAATCAATGGTAGGATCTCACAATCTACCTCTTTGAGGCCTAGCGTTCTCACTGGCACCCTTCTAATCGACGTGAGATCTCACAACATTATTTAGCCAAGACTGCCACCATCCATTCTTTCATCATCCAAAAAATTTCATATGCTCATCCACTCAAAAATTCATCTCAATTCTAGTTGTAGATGAACTTACTAACGATAATGTAAAAGTAAATTTGATATATAATTCATTCATACGACCCGAAAATGAGGACATGGTTATTCGAAAATTTCAAATGCTTGAATTAAACAATTTCTTGATTCAAAAGGTCTTGCTCAAATTCCAGTAGCCCGTTGATGTCAGGCGTGCTCCGAAGTTCTTCCACGGGTCGACTAAAAGGAAGAATTTCAATCATGGGGTATGATATTCATATTTTAGTTATGACAAGTTAGGAGCAGTTCATGGTTTGATACGCAATCATTTAATGTATAAGGTCATAAATCCGATGAACATAGAATACAACATGAATTATCAAAGTTTTCTCTTTGGGCTTTTTCTTTCGAACTTTTTTTTCGGACTTCCACTCAAGGAGTTTAAAATATATTGAGATTTACACACTTTTACAAAAAAATGTTTCGTTCTCCTTCTCAATTGGTCTTACAACTCTAATTTTAAACCTGAATCTACTCAAGATTTATCACGGAAGTTGAGCTAAATCTCTCATCAAAATTAAGAACCTAACTCCCAAGAAATCTCATGGATCTATTGATAAAATGAAGAATAAAAGTACTTAATGAAATAGGACGATTCGAATGCTGAAATGAATATTCTTAGTCGAGTGAGTGTTTGTTGTGAAGAACTCTCGGCCAAAATCGGACTCCAAGTGGCTGATTTGAGCAAATTTTCTTTCCTTTTCCATGCTTTTTAACCCGAGATTGAGAGAGAAAACAGAGAGACTTTTGGAGTTTGGAGATTTTACGAGGAGGAGTTTGAGGAATCGGAGCAGAGAAATACCGTGTAGGCGTTGTGTCAACAGGAGGTCACAAAATGGTGCGAATCAACGTGAATGGCGTTCAGTCGCGTCGGATTCAGAAAAGGAAAATCGATTTAGGGTTTTCGTGTTTTCTCGGGTAAGGAAGAAGAGGTATCGGATACGGGTCGGGCAGCGACTGTACACCCGAGAACATGCATAGCCCAACCAGTCGCTCACAGCCCACTGTCTAGCCCATTCTGTTTCGGCCCGACTGAAGACGACGGCCCAGTCCACGAAACCAGACGGTCCAGCTCACGACTTCCCAAGTGGAGGTGATGGCCCAGCGGATACACAATTCGCGCCCAGACGAAATGCGTGCCTTCAACTTTACACATGCGGGCAAACGCGGCTCGGCTCCCAAGTTCCGTCTGTTCTGCGGCTCGGTTTGGTGGCTCAATATCTATACAATATACTAAATCCTATGAAGCAATTTCTGGTTAAAATAAGATCGGTATGACTTTTATTTATCAAATAGATTAGCTTGCTCAAGTTATAAATAGACCATTTTTTTTTTTTTTTTATGTGGATAGACCCTAATTCTGTGGATGTTTATAGGAAATAGTTAGGAGTTGAAGTTGTAGTATTGATGCGATTAAACTTATCGGGGAGAACTTTGGTCAAGTCAACCAGTTAAGTGACTTGGCTATTGGAGTTAACTTGAAATATGTATTAGGTTAAGGTAAGTCATGGGACTTCATGCATGTTTGTGTGTTATGTTATGATGTTCGGGATACTTTTCCCTTTATGTTATGATGGTACGAACACGTACGTTTTGATATTATGTTCGCTGTGATATCATGCAGACTTTTTCTTTTCTATGACATCTGGTGACGTGTAATACATTGTGTCCGACCAAGCAAGGCCTAGAGGGTGTGTATACGAGCCCGTTTGGTGGGCCCACATATGCATATTTGGGTCGCATGTAAAAAAGTACTACACATGCGCCTTGCTTGGATAAAAAAAAAGAGTCCAAGGCCTAAGGCCATGTAAAGTAAATGAAAGATAGATCCACTTCTATTTTTCTAACCTCAATTGGGGTGACTTATTGAGTATAAATACTCAGGCTACGGGCGTTTATTTCGTCTAAAAAATATTATTTCTCCAATAAATTTTTTTAATTATTTTTAATTAAGAATGTTACTGAAATCAAATTTTCTTTTTGAGTCTGAAACTCACCTATTTTTAAATGTAACTCCAATTTATCAAAATGGTAATTTTTAGATTATAAATTAAAAAACGAGGGGATAGAAAAAAAAATCAAATACCTTTTACCAAATTGGACTTTTTTATTTATTTATTTATCATCTTGTAAAATGCACGATAAATACCTAAAGATAAACATAGCATATAACTTTTTTATTTTAAGTAATTTTAAAACTTACTTTTATGTAAAATCTTAAAATTTTTAAATTAAAAAATGGAGATAATTTGAACAAATAAACTATGTTTTCTTAAATAATAAATAAATAAAAAAAAAAAACAATAAGAAAACAAACATCTGAAGTAATTTTTCACTAATAATATTAAAGAGTTAAAAAAAAAAGAGTGACAACATAAAAGATGAAATAAACATGTAATATAAGACTAAAACTATTTTATCTCGTAAAAAAAAAAAAAAAGAATATTTGAATGGAATAAAAGGTCAACCTAATAAATATATTCGATAATATCTCGTTCTACCTATCGAGTAATAAATACCAAAACTCCAACTCGAAATCTAAAGCATACCATACAAAAATTTCAAAAGTTCTTCTTCAAATCTTTCCATTTGTTTTTCTAAGTTTCGTTTTCTTTAGAGAATACAAATTCATGGCTGTTGTTCCATCTGTCGTTGTCCCCAGCGGACCGATGCCAATTATAAATGTACAAAATATTGATGTCAATGATCCAAAGGTTAAAGCGATAGCAGAGTTTGTATTGAAAATGTGTCCCGGAGAAAAGTTGATCCTTCATAAAGTTGAAGCTGGTCAAAGCATTCTAACATTCGATGTGTGGAACTACTATTACAATCTTATTATCTCCGCCAAACGTTGCCATGAACCATTATTGGTGTTTTGTAGTGCCATTGTAAAACTACATATTTTAGATGAATCTTATGACCTCATATCTTTCGTCCGTCTTCCCTAAACTGCATATCTTGCAACGGGATCATCTATGTTCTATGTACTATGTCTTATCTAAGTTATAAACTATCAAAGAGTAGTAATAATATGAGAATAAAAGTTGCCAAAGGGAGCATATAGCTCGATGGTAATTACTATATCCTCCTTCCATTTTTCTTTTGCATCTCATATTGAAATTTACGCTCGTTAGCCTACTCAATTTGTGGGGATGATAGTCTTAAATTGTATCCAAACTTTGATAGAATTATCATGCGCCATTAAACACAATTATTTGATTTTCAGACATCTTAAAATCTCAAACATCTTATTATATAAAATTGTCTAATGTCCGGAAATAGAATGCTTGAGAATAGAGTAATTGTGTTTGGTGTTGCACGCAAATGCTATCAATATTTTATATAAATAAATAATATTTTTGCTCGATTCACGCCATTAATTCCAACATTATTTTTACATAATTATTTTTATGCTAGTTAATTTATTTTTATTAATTTAAATTATTAAAATAATTTTAACTAATTAAATTTTTATTCATTTATAAATACAATTTTCAAAAATAAAAACTTTGAAGTAAAAATCGTAAAGATTATTTAAGTAAATATAAGCATATTTATTTATAATAATAGAATAATTTAAATTTAAACAATATTATAAAAAAAAAATTTTAAAAAGAGATAATAGGAAAAAATAAGGAAAGGAACAACGGATTTAAGAAAATAGTTAACAATTATTTTCTTCATTTTTAATTTAATCGAATTTAGCTATTCTTTTGCTATAATTCATATAAAATTATTGATAACCTAAATAATTGCAATAGTTGAGGGAAGATCTAAAATATGTTTGATTTTCTAAAATTCATACAAAATCCATCTCATTTAATTTCTAATTCAAAACTAAATAATTATAACTAAATTAATATTGTTTTATAAAAAAGAAATTACTTAAGTGTTGTCGGATTTATTTTTAGAAAAAGAGTGGTGAGAGGTTGAAGGAGAAAGAAGAGATTCGTTACCATTTTTAAAATTTTTTATTATTTATTTATTATTATAATTTTGCTGGTCACAATGGATCAAACCAATATAAATGATGTGATTTAAAACGAACATCCACAAAAAGTGAGTAGGTTAACTAGGTTAAATGCACCAATCGAGCAAATTAATAATAAAAACTTCAATATAGTAGCAGAAGACGACAACAGGTAAGAACGAGAAGTATGAGATGAGAGAGCTATAATGTTGAATCTAAAAACTCAACTAATCGTAACTCAACACAAATTTAAGAGACCAAAATTATTTGTTTTAGATTATAAATTAAATTTAAAAAATTAAAAAAAAAAATTGAATATAAGGAAATAAAATATCAACTTATTCTCTTTTACTGGATTAAAGAAAGAATGAGGTTAACTTACTCTCCAACTTACCCTAAATCAAATATTTTCTCTCTTTCATGTTTAAATTCTCTTTCATGTTTGAAGTAACAACATAAAAGATGAAATAAACATGTAATATGAACCTAAAATTATACACAAACTTTTGTCTCATACAAATAAAGAATATTTGAATGGAATAAAAAGTCCACGTAATAAATATATTCGATGATATCGAGTTCTACCTAGCAAATAATAAATACCAAAACTCTAACTCAAAATCGAAATCGAAAGCATACCATACAAAAATTTCAAAATTTCTTCCTCAAATCTTCCAATTTTTTATTTTAAGCTTCGTTTTCTTAAGAGAATACAAATTCATGGCTGCTGTTCCATCTGCCATTGTCCCGGGATGGGGACTGCTACCAATACACGTGTTCAACATTAATGTCAATGATCCAAAGGTTAAAGCGGCAGCAGAGTTTGCACTAAGTAAGTATCCTGGAGAAAAGTTGATCCTTCGTAAAGTTGAAGCTGGTCAAACCATTGAAACGGTCTTGTGTCCACCGAACTTCTATTACAATCTTATTATCTCCGCCGGACGTTGTCATGATCCATTATTGGTGTTTTGTAGTGCCATTGTGCAACAATTTCCAGATCAATCTTATGACCTCATATCTTTCGTCCGTCTTCCCTAAACTGCATAATTTGCAATGGGATCATCTATGTTCTATCTACTATGTCTTACTTAAGTTATAAACTATCAAAAGTAGTAATAATATGAGAATAAAAGTTGCCAAAGGGAGCATATAGCTCGATGGTAATTACTGTATCCTCCTTCCATTTTTCTTTTGCATCTCATATTGAAATTTAAGCTCGTTAGCTTACTTAGTTCGTGCGGATGTGTCTTAAATCATATCATTTACGTGAAACTGTAATAGCATAATCATGCACCATTAAACACAATTATTTGATATTCATACATCTTATTATTTGTCCTTTAGTCTAATGTCCGGGAATAGGACTGCATTTGGTGTTGTGAGAGAATGATATCAATATTTTATATATAAATAAATAATATTTTTACTCATAGTTAATTCCTAACATTTTTGCATAACAAATTCTATGTTTAGTTAGTTTATTTTTTATTAAATCAAATTATTAAAATAATTTTAACTGATTAAATTTTTATTCATTTATAAATACAATTTTCAAATATAAAAACTTGGAGTAAAAATTTAGAATGGATAGATAAGAGGCTGATATATAAGGTAGTTTTAAATTATCAAAATAATTTTAATTAAAAATTGGTAATTATAAAAAACAAAACACTTCTACCATTTTATTTGGCTATTTAATTCGATAAATTTAACTTATCTTATTATTAATTAATTTAATAACATATTAATTAATAACTTAATATAAATAATTTATTATATAATATCGTAAAAATGATTTAAATAAATATAAGCATATTTATTTATAATAATAGAATAATTTAGTAATAGAATAATTTAGTATATTAACATTGCTGTGGTTAAAAACTATAAATTTAAATTTAAACATATTTATAAAAGTTAAATAAATAAATTAAAAAAAAAAAGATAATAGAAAATAATAAGGAATTTAAGAAAATACATGTTTTTACTTGGTTTTGTTAAAAAATAAAAAATAAAAAAATAAAAAAATAAAAAAATAAACTCATATTCCTGACATATATATTTTATTTGGGTTTTCCCTATTTTTAAAACTACTTCTCTCTGTAAGTGTTTACCACTCTTATAAAAAAAATGTTTTGTTCCTTCCTCCAACTGATGTGGGATCCATAATCTACCTCTTTTGGACATAGCGTCCTCGTTGACACTTGTTCTCTTCTCAAATCAATGTATGATCTTACAATCCACCTCTTCGAAGCCTAGCGTTTTCACTGACACTCGTTCCTCTCTCTAATCGACATAGGATCTTACAACATTACTTAGCCAAAAACTTCCATCATCCATTCTTTCATCATCCAAAAAGTTCCCTCTGCTTATCCACTCAAAAATTCATCTCAATTCCAGTTGTAGACAAACTTACTAACGATGATGTAAAAGTCAATTTAATATGTAATTCATTCATAAGACCCGAAAGTCAGGACACGGTTATTCGAAAATTTCAAATGCTCGAATTAAATGCTTTCTTGGTTCAAAAAGTCTTGCTCAAATTGATGTCAAACGCGCTTCGAAGTTCTTCCAAGTCGGCTAAGAGGAAGAATTTCAATCATGGGTTTCAATATTATGGTATTATGATTCATATTTTAGTTATTATAGGTTGAGCATTTCATGCTTTGATACTCATCATTTAATGTATAAGGTCATAAATTCACTATTGCATAAGATACAACAGGAATTTTTAAGGTTGTCCTTTTTGGGTTTTTTCTTTCGAACTTCCCCTCAAGGATTTTAAAATGCATCGAGAGGTTTCCAGACTCTTATAGAAAATGTTTTGTTCTCGTTCCCAACTAATGTGGGGTCTCACGACTCTGATTTCCAACCTGAATCTACTCAAGATTTTTATGGAAGTTGAGCCGAATCTCTTTTAGGTCAACATATCCAAAACTCAAAACCTAATTTCCAAGAAATCGGATGGATCTAAGGAAAAACTGAAAGTAAAAATACTTAAATCTTACCTTCCATTCATTCTTGTTTCTTGATGAAAAAGAACGGTTCAAATGCTCAAACAAATACTCTCAATAAAGTGAGTGTTTCTTGTGAAGAACTCTCGGCCAAAATTAGGCTCCATATAGCTCTTTTAGAACTCCTACGGTCATAAACACATCCTTACGAAAGAGGGTCAAATTACCATTTTGTCCCCCCGTAACATAACATTGATGTATTCTATTCATACATCACTCTTATACTTGAATAAATTTTGAATGAGTGTTGATATACTACTAATACAACGACCTTTTAAAATAAGTGAGATGGGAATAAACTGTTCACTTGCTTTCTAAAAAAAATGAAGAGATCAAGTTGAGATCGATTTTGGGAGCGTTTAGAGGTGTGTTAGGTAGACATGTTCGTTCCCGTTAAACAATCTTTTTATTACTTTAGCATTGAAAATTTTATTTTAATCACATATGAGTTTTATTAGCTCTACAACATGTAATATTAATGGTTCCCAATAGAATGAATTGAATCATTATAAGTTGATGATAGAGAGTTCACGAAAACATGATAGATGGTTTATGTTCTCGATCAATATTTGTAATGATTGTGTTTATTTAATCTAATAAAACTCTAATCGAGATCAACATAAATGATATGATTTAAGACTAACATCCACAAAAAGTGAGTAGGAACTCGACTAAATATGACTAACTTCAATATGGTAGCAGAAGGTGACCACAAGTAAGAACGAGAAGAATGAGACGAGAGAGATATCAGGTTGAGTTTGAAAACTCGACGACTTAACCGTAACTCAACACAAATTTAAGAGACCAAAATTATTTATTTTAGTTTATAAGTTAAATTTTAAAATTTAAAAAGTTGAATATAAAAAGATAAAACGTCTAAAGGAAGAATGAGAATGAGATTAACTTATTCTCCTATCAAATATTTTATTTTTTTTTTCATGTTTAAAGTAACCACATAAAAGATGAAATAAACATGTAATATAAGCCTAAAATTATACACAAACTTTTGGTCTCGAAAGAATATTTGAATAGAATAAAAGATCCACATAATAAATATATTCGACTATATCGATTCTATCCAGCGAGTAATAAATACCAAAACTCCAATTCAAAATCGAAAGCATATCATACAAAAATTTCAAAATTTCTTCTTCAAATCTTCCCATTTGTTTTTTTAAGTTTCATTTTCTTAAGAGAATAAATATTCATGGCTGCTGTTCCATCTGACGTTATGCCTGCATGGAGACCGCCGCTGATAGTGGAAAACGTGCAAAACATTGATGTCAATGATCCAAAGGTTAAAGCGGTAGCAGAGTTTGCACTGAGTAAGTATCCCGGAGAAAACTTGATCCTTCGTCAAGTTGAAGCTGGTCAAAGCATTCTGACGTTCAGGCCCGAGTGGAACCTCTATTACAATCTTATTATCTCCGCCAAACGTTGTCATGAACCATTATTGGTGTTTTGTAGTGCCATTGTGCAACAACATCGCTCAGATCAATCTTATGACCTAATATCTTTCGTCCGTCTTCCCTAAACTGCATATCTTGCAACGGGATCATCTATGTTCTATGTACTATGATCTTATCTAAGTTATAAACTATAGTAATAATATAAGAATAAAAGTTGCCAAAGGGAGCATATAGCTCGATGGTAATTACTATATCCTCCTCCCATTTTTCTTTTCCATCTCATATTGAAATTTTCGCTCGTTAGCCTATTCAGCTTGTGCAATTGTTAATCTTAAATCATATTATTTACGTGAAATTGTAATAGTGCACCATTAAACACAATTATTTGATTTTCAGGCCTCTTATTTCCAGACATCTTATTATATATGAAGTTTTGTCTAATGTCTGGGAATAGGATGCTTGAGAATAGAATGACTGTAGTGTGCGCGAATCATATCAATATTTTATATATAAATAAATAATATTTTTGCTAGCTCGCCATTAATTTCAACATTTTTTTGTATAATTAATTATAGGCAAGTTAGTTTATTTTTTATTAAATCAAATTATTAAAATAATTTTAACTAATTAAATTTTTATTCCTTTTAAATACAATGTTAAAATATACAAACTTGGAGTAAAAATTTATAATCAATAGATAAGAGGTTGATATATAAGGTAATTCATTTTAAATTATCAAAATAATTTTAATTAAAAATTTGTAATTATAAAAAACAAAACACTTCTCCAAGTTTACAAATTTAACTTATCTTATTATTAATTAATTTAATAACATATTAATTAATAACTTAATATAAATAATTTATTATGTCGTAAAAATTATTTAAGTAAACATAAACATATTTATTTATCATAATAGAATAATTTAGTAATTAACGTTACTATCCTACGGTTAAAAACTATAAATTTAAATTTAAACATACTTTTAAAAATTAAATAAAATAAAATAAAAGAAGAGGAGATAATAGAAAATAAATTTAAATTTAATTCATTACCTTAGCATATTTTCTTTTAGAGTTAGATTTGCCCTAAGTATTCCAACTCGTCCCATCCGTAACACTACAAAGACATATATTATCTTATTCAGGTTTTCCTTTCAGCTTCCCCTCAAAATTTTTAAAACGAGTTTATTAATGGAGGTCTTCACACCCTTATAAAAAATATTTTGTTACTCTATCCAACCGATATGGGATCTATAATCTACCCCTTCAGGGTCTAGCATCCTCGCTGGCACTCGTTCTCTTCTCCAATCAATGGTAGGGTCTCACAATCTACCTCTTCGAGGCCTAGCATTCTCACTGGCACTCTAGGATCTCACAACATTACTTAGCCAAAAACTGCCACCATCCATTCTTTCATCATCCACAAAATTTGCTATGCTCATCCACTCGAAAATTCATCTCAATTCTAGTTGTAGACGAACTTACTAACGATGATGTAAAAGTAAATTTGATATATAATTCATTCATAAGACCCGAAAGTCAAGACATGGTTATTCGAAAATTTCAAATGCTTAAATTAAACAATTTCTTGGTTCAAAAAGTCTTGTTCAAATTCCAGTAGCCCGTTGGTGTCAGCGTTGGTGTCAGCGTGCTCCAAAGTTCTTCCCCGGGTCGGCTAAAAGGAAGAATTCAATCATAGGGTATTATGATTCATATTTTAGTTATTACAAGTTGGAGCGGTTCATGCTTTGATACTCAATCATTTAATGTGTAAGGTCATAAATCAGGTATTGATGAACATAGGAATTCTCAAAGTTGTTCTTTTGGAGTTTTTCTTTTTATTTCCCCTAAAAGTTTTTAAAATGTAACTAGATGTTTACACACTTTTATTAAAAAAAAAAATGTTTCGTGGAGACTCAGAGTTAATCTACTAAAAAAAATTTGATGAAAGTTGTGCCGAATCTTTCCTAGAAAAAATCTGATAGATGTAAGGAAAAAATGAAGACTAAAAGTACTTAATCTTACCTTCCGTTCATTCTCGATCCTTCATGAAATAGGACGATGTGAATGCTGAAATGAATATTCTTAGTCGGAGTGAGTGTTTGTTGTGAACAACTCTCGGCCAAAATCGGAGTACAAGCGGCTGATTTGAGCAAATTTTCTTTCCTTTTCCATGCTTTTTAACCCGAGATTGAGAGAGAAAACAGAGAGACTTTTGGAGTTTGGAGATTTTACGAGGAGGAGTTTGAGGAATCGGAGCAGAGAAATACCGTGTAGGCGTTGTGTCAACAGGAGGTCACAAAATGGTGCGAATCAACGTGAATGGCGTTCAGTCTCGTCGGATTCAGAAAAGGGGAATCGATTTAGGGTTTTCGTGTTTTCTCGGGTAAGGAAGAAGAGGTATCGGATACGGGTCGGGTCAGCAACTATACACCCGAGAACATGCATAGCCCAACCAGTCGCTTACGGCCCACTGTCCAGCCCATTCTGTTTCGGCCTGACTGAAAACGTCGGCCCAGTCCATGCGACCAGACGGTCCAGCTCACAGCTTCTTCAGCCCAAGTGGAGTTGACGGCCCAGCGGATACACGATTCGCGCCCAGACGAAATGCGTGCCTTCGACTTTACACATGCGCGCAAACGCGGCTCAGGTCCCCGGCTCCGTCTCTTCTCGCGGCTCAGCTTGGTGGCTCGATATCTGGATAATATACTAAATCCTATGAAGCAATTTCTGACCTTATTTTAACCTTTTGAGATCGGTATGACTTTTATTTATCAAATAGCTTAGCTTGCTCAAGATATAAATAGACCATTTTTTATGTGGATAGACCCTTGTTATGTGGATGTTTATAGGAAATAGTTAGGAGTTGAAGTTGTAGTATTGATGCGATTAAACTTATCGTGGGGAACTTCGGTCAAGTCAACCAGTTAAGTGACTTGGCTATTGGAGTTAACTTGAAACATGTATTAGGTTAAGGTAAGTCATGGGACTTCATGCATGTTTGTGTGTTATGTTATGATGTTCGGGATACTTTTCCCTTTATGTTATGATGTTCGGGATACTTTTCCCTTTATGTTATGATGGTACGAACACGTACGTTTTGATATTATGTTCGCTGTGATATCATGCAGACTTTTTCTTTTCTATGACATCTGGTGACGTGGAATAGGTTGTGTCCGACCAAGCAAGGCCTAGGGTGTTTGTATACGAGCCCGTTTGGTGGGCCCACGTATGCGTACTTGGGTCGCATGTGAAAAAGTACTACACATGCGCCTTGCTTGGATAAAAAAAAAAGAGCCTAAGGCCTCAGGCCATGTAAAGTGAAAGAAAGACAGATGATCCACTCCTATTTTTCTAACCCCAATCGGGGTGACTTATCGAGTATTTCGTACGGGCGTTTATTTCGTCTAAAAAAATATTATTTCTCAAATAAATTTTTTTAATTATTTTTAATTAAAAATGTTACTGAAATCAAAATTTCCTTTGAGTTTGAAACTCACCTATTTTTAAACGTAACTCCAACTTAAAGAGATCAAAATGGTCATTTTCAGATTATAAATTAAAAATGAGGGGATAGAAAAAAAAAATCAAATACCTTTTACCAAATTGGACTTATTTATTTATTTATTTATTTATCATTTTTTTACTTGTAAAATGCATGATAAATACCTAAAGATAAACATAGCATATAATTTTTTTATTTTAAGTAATTTTAAAACTTACTTTTATGTAAAATCTTAAAATTTTTAAATTAAAAAATGGAGATAATTTGAACAAATAAACTATGTTTTCTCAAAAAAAAAAAAAAAACATCTGAATTAAGAAACAGTTACTAGATGCAATTTAATTTTTCACTAGTAATATTAAAGAGTAAAAAAAAAAGTGAAAACATAAAATAAACATGTAATATAAACCTAAAACTATACACAAATTTTGGTCTCGTATAAAAGAAAGAATATTTGAATGGAATAAAAGGAATAAAGGTCCACGTAATAAATATATTCGATAATATGAGTTCTATCTATCAAGTAATAAATACCAAAATTTCAACTCGAAATCGAAAGCATACCATACAAAAATTTCAAAATTTCTTCTTCAAATCTTCCCATTTGTTTTTCTAAGTTACGTTTTTTTAAGAGAATACAAATTCATGGCTGCTGTTCCATCTATCGTTATCCCCAGCGGACCGATGCGAGTTATAAATGTACAAAATATTGATGTCAATGATCCAAAGGTTAAAGCGATAGCAGAGTTTGTCTTGAAAATGTGTCCGGGAGAAAAGTTGATCCTTCATAAAGTTGAAGCAGGTCAAAGCATTGAAACGTTCGAGATGTGGAACTACTATTACAATCTTATTATCTCCGCCAAACGTTGTCATGATCCATTATTGGTGTTTTGTAGTGCCATTGTACAACTTCGTTCAGATGAATCTTATGACCTCATATCTTTTGTCCGTCTTCCCTAAACTGCATAACTTGCAACGGGATCATCTATGTTCTATCTGCTATATCTTATCTATGTCATACATCATCAAAATTAGTAATAATATGAAAATAAAAGTTGCCAAAGGGAGCATATAGCTCGATGGCAATGACTATATCCTCCTTCTATTTTTCTTTTGCATCTCATATTGAAATTTATGCTCGTTAACCAACTCAATTTGTGCGGATGTTAATCTTAAATCGTATCGAAACTATGATAGAATTATCATGCACCATTAAACACAATTATTTGATTTTCAGACATCTTAAAATCTCAAACATCTTATTATATAAAATTGTCTAGTGTCCGAAATAGAATGCCTAAGAATAGAGTAAATACGTTTGGTGTTGCATGGGAATTATATCCATATTTTATATAAATAAATAATATTTTTGCTCCATTCTCGCCATTAATTCCAACTTTATTTTTACATAATTATTTCTATGCTAGTTAATTTATTTTTATTAAATTAAATTAAATTATTAAAATAATTTTAAATCATTAAATTTTTATTCATTTATAAATACAATTTTCAAATATAAAAACTTTGAAGTAAAAATTTATAATGGATAGATAACAGCTCATATATAAGGTAATTCATTTTAAATTATCAAAATAATTTTAATAAAAAATTTATAATTATAAAAAACTATCTTCTCTCAAATTAAATATTTCATTTTTTTTAGGAAAGAAGGAATTCTAATATGTAAATATGCTGTTCTTTTAAAAAAGAAATTACTTATTTACTGTAGTATTTATTTGTTGAAAAGAGTGGTGAGAGGTTGAAGGAGAGAAGAGATTCGTTACCATTTTTTAAAAAAAAAAATTTTTTTTTGGCTCGTTACAGTAGGTCATATCAACGGACCCAACATAAATGATATGATTTAAAACTAACATCGACAAAAAGTGAGTAGGTTAACTGGATTAAATACGACCCACCGAACAAATTAATAGCAAAAACTTCAATATAGCAGCAAATGATGACAACAGGTAAAAACGAGAAGAATGGGATGAGAGAGTTATAAGGTTGAGTCTGAAAACTCAACGACTTAACCGTTCAACACTTACCAAAATTATTTATTTTAGATTATAAAGTATATTTTAAAAATTAAAAAATAAAATATCGACTTATTCTCTTTGACTGGGATCGAAGGAAGAATGAGATTAACTTATTCTGCCTTACCCTAAATCAAATATTTTATTTCTCTTTCTTTCATGTTTAAAGTAACCACATAAATGATGAAATAAACGTGTAACATAAGTCTAAAACTATACATAAACTTTGGTGACCAAAGAAAGAATATTTGAATGGAATAAAAAGTTCACGTAATAAATATATTCGACCATATCAAGTTTTATCTAGCGAGTAATAAATATCAAAACTCCAACTCAAAATCGAAACCATATCATACAAAAATTTCAAAATTTCTTCCTCAAATCTTCCCTTTTGTTCTTTTAAGTTCCGTTTTCTCAAGAGAATACATATTCATGACGCTGTTCCATCTGACGATATGGTGGGATGACCACCGCTGCCAATAGAAAACGTAAAAAATATTGATGTCAATGATCCAAATATTAAAGCGATAGCAGAGTTTGTAGTGAGTATGAGTCCCGGAGAAAAGTTGATCATTAATCAAGTTGAAGCTGGTCAAAGAATTAGAACGGGAATGCTCGAGCAGAACTTCTATTACAATCTTATTATCTCCGCCAGACGTTGTCATGATCCATTATTGGTGTTTTGTAGTTCCATTGTGCAACAACATTGTTCAGATCAATCTTATGACCTCATATCTTTTGTCCGTCTTCCCTAAATTGCATAACTTGCAACGGGATCATCTATGTTCTATCAACTATGTCTTGTCTAAGTTATAAACTATCAAAAGTAGTAATAATATGAGAATAAAAGTTGCCAAAGGGAGCGTATAGCTCAATGGTAATTACTATATCCTCCTTCCATTTTTCTTTTGCATTTCATATTGAAATTTTCGCTCGTTAGCATACTCAGTTTGTGCGAATGTTAGTTTTAAATCATATCATTTACGTGAAACTCTGATAGCATTATCATGCACCATTAAACACAATTATTTGATTCTCAAGCATCTTATTTTTAGACATCTTATTATTTATCGTCTGATTTAAAGTTTTGTCTAATGTCGGAGAATAAGATGCCTGAGAATAGAATAACTGCGTTCATTGCGCGCTAATGATTTCAGTATTTTATATAAATAAATAATATTCTTACTCTACAATTAATTCCAACATTTTTACATAATTATTTCTATGCTAGTTACTTTATTTTTATTAAATTAAATTATTAAAATAATTTTAACTAATTAAAGTTTAATTAAATTTTTATTCATTTATAAATACAATTTTCAAATATACAAACTAGAAGTAAAAAAGAAATGTTTAATTTATACAACCAATCATAACTTCTAATTCATGACATTTGTAACGATCCAAGCTCACTGCTGGCAGATATTGTCTTCGGCTTTTCTTTTTAGGTTTTCTCTCAGAGTTTTTAAAACACGTCTGCTAGTGAGAGATTTTCACACCCTTATAAACAATGTTTCGTTACCTTCTCCAATCGATTTGGGATTCACAATCTCCTTCTTCGGGGTCCTGCTTCCTCGCTGACACTTGTTCCCTCTCCAATCAATGTAGGACCTCACAATCCACCCCTTCGAGCCCAACGCCCTTGCTCACACTCGTTCCTCTGTCCAATTGATGTGGGATCTCACAAAATTACTTAGCCAAAAACTGCCACCCGTCGTTCTTTCATCATCCAAAAAATTCCTTCTACTCATCCAAAAAATTCCTTCTACTCATCCACTCTTCATCTCAATTCCTGTTGTAGACGAACTTACTAACGATGATGTAATAGTCAATCTAATATGTAATTCATTTATAAGACCCGAATGTCAAGACACAGTTACTCGAAAATTTCAAATGTTCAAATTAAACGATTTCTTGATTTAAAAAGTCTTGCTCAAATTCCAGTAGCCCGTTGATGTAGAACATACTCCAGAGTTCTTCCACTAGTCGGCTAAGAGAAGAATTTCAATCATAGGTTTCAATCTTATGGTATTATGATTCTTATTTTAGTTATTACACGTTTGAGCACGTTGATTTTTGGAGTATTTCATGCTTTGATACTCAATCATTTAAGGTACAAGGTCTTAATCCGCTATTGATGATCATACGATAAAATTGAATTCTTAGCAGTCTCGAAATAGAACATGGGGAAGAAAATGGGCACTGTCTCGGAGAGAGGCTCGATGAAATAGATATGTCTGTGAAGATGTGGACTACCTGCACGTGGACAGAAAAACCCTATGAAGCTTATAAATCCTCATATGACCAGTAATAACTTGAAATTATCATTAAAAATACATTTAAACTAACAATGATATCAATAAAATAACGAAATCAAAAGAACAAGATATCTCGGTCATGCTCGTCGAGGGTGTATTGTCTATAGTCGCATGCCCGTTCCAAACCTCTTTTACATATTTTCATCTTAGACAGG